GAGGCAGAATAGTCAAAGCAGAGGCAAACTTGTGCATGGCGTTGGATTTCCGAGCAAACCCGAGCACGCGAGCATTGGATCCTCTTCCCGAGGCCTTTACTGCTTTCTTAGCTTAGTTAATTTGCTTAATTAATTAGGTGGTCTGTAATAATTAATTAGCTTGTAGATTAATGAATTTGTATTATTCTTTTGGTCCCTCCGAGCGAGGGTGAATTTGTAATAAGTGTGGGTGAGTGTGTGTATGTCTCCTAACCCCACGTCTTTCTTCCCTTTTATTTACCCGCTTATGATGGTAGACTAGGGCATATTTAAATTAGCATACCTTATGCTATGCATGCGTGCAGCATTCATTAGTTTTGCATGCACCAGGCTCGGCATATCATACTAATTGCATAAGTATTTCAAATCTAACTTGAATACATGCTACTTGTGCATTTTCACATGTCATTTATAGACTAGCCGAGCCTACTCTAGCGACATTCCGTATGCGTTGCATTAGGCATTTAAACATGGACTTGGATCATGCATGATTTCTAACATGTTCTTGTTTTGGCTTGGAGTACTCGGTAAGCATTTACGCTTAGCATACCGCATGCGTGTGAGTGTTGCCATAACAGCATGATTACCATGAGGCTAGCTGCTTATGTGATATAACTGCTTGAATGCCTGTGGATGGAGGTTAAATTACCTAAATCGGAATAATGCCTTAAAAATGTGAGTTTTAAGCCCACTAGATAGTGGCAAAACCATCTTTTCTAAAAGCCCGCTCGAGGGTGGCAAAACCTGCATTTTAGCCTACTTGCGAGTAGCAAACCAACTTCAAAACGAGCATGAAATGTTTTGTTCCAATTTAGGCGATTTGGTCTATACTTGTTTGCTGTGCGCATAACATAGTAATTCTAGGCTAATAACCGGAATAAGAACACCAAACGTTTTCAAAAATGGATATCACGGTTAGTAGAGGCCGATCTTCGGATCGGGCGAGAGGGGGTGCTCATAGCTGACCTTCTCCAATCGTACCCAAGTTCCCGAGCCGAGGCAACTTTGGTGATGACGAACACGTGGCCTTTGGCACCGAGTCAGGGTTTCCTAAATTCCCCCATAAAAAATATTTAGGTGGCGACTCTGTATCTGGCAAAGCAGTCCATGTTTGGCACTTCTTTTCAAAAATATGTTTCTCAAAACGGTTTGCCGGATTTGGACTCTTTGGTTCAGATTAAGGACCGTGACACAAATTGAGTCCGAACTGTAGCATGAGGCCCGCGGGCGCGTCTACACACACGCGAGGAAAGAAATGGTGTGAATCCAGAGACACACCCTAATATTCAAAACCAAAGAGAACAGTGATAACAAATGAAACACGTCCAAACACTTGTAACCAAAACAAAGAGCGGTATAAGCTTCGGAACCTGTCTGAATGCATTTAACCAAAGCGTCCTGACACGCCACACGCGAGAGGAAAAGAGCATGATGTAAACACCGAGCGTACCCGAATGTTTCTAACCGAAAACATCCTAACGCGTCACACGCGAGAGGAGAAATGGAGTGGTGTAAACACCCGGGGGGTGGTATGAACATCGGAACACGTCCCAACGTTTCTAACCAAAATAGGGTGTTATAAGCTTCGAAACACATTCCAAATGCTTCTAACTAGAGGGAGTGGTATAAACATTAGAGCACGTCCCAATGTTTCTAACCAAAATAGGGTGGTATAAGCATCAGGAACACGTCCAAATACTTCTAACCAAAGAGGGGTGGTATAAACATCGGAACATGTCCCAATGTTTCTAACCAACAAGGTGTGGTATAAGCATCAGGAACACGTCCCAATGTTTCTAACCAAAGAGGGTGGTATAAACATCGGAGCACATCCCAATGTTTCTAACCAACAAGATGTGGTATAAGCATCAGGAACACGCCCCAATATTTCTAACCAAGAAGGTGTGGTATAAGCATCAGGAACACGTCTAAATACTTCTAACCAAGGAGGGGTGGTATAAACATCGGAGTACGTCCCAATGTTTCTAACCAACAAGGTGAGGTATAAGCATCAGGAACACATCCAAATACTTCGAATCAGAGGGGTGGTATAAACATCGGAGCACGTCCCAATGTTTCTAACCAACAAGATGTGGTATAAGCATCAGGAACACGTCCAAATACTTCTAACTAAAGAGGGGTGGTATAAACATCGGATCACGTCCCAATATTTCTAACCAACAAGGTGTTGTATAAGCATCAGGAACACGTCCAAATACTTCTAACCAAAGAGGGGTGGTATAAACATCGGAACACGTCCTAATGTTTGTAACCAACAAGGGTGTGGTGTAAACATCGGGCGTACCCGAGTGTTTCTAACCAACAAAGGTGTGGTGTAAACACCGGGCGTACCCGAATGTTTCTAACCAAAGTAAGGGTGTGGTGTTAACATCGGGTGTACCCGAATGTTTCTAACCAACAAGGGGAGTTCAAGGGGCAAGAATGATCTTACCTGGAGTTCCTCTGAATGAACCATACATACAATATCGTCTGGTTGCACCAGCTTTGAATGAATCGTACATACAATATCGTGCCTACATAAGAAAGAAACTTAACAGGTACAATGCAATAAAAATGTATGTTCTATGCAAGACGAATAACCATGACACAATGTTAGAGGCATGTTTCATGCAGAACATGGAAGGAACAAAACAAAAGCATAATCTATGCGGCTCGAGCGAGAGCATGTTCTATGCAATAGACAAAGTAATGCATATTCTATGCTATAGTAGCAAACACATGGTCGATGCAATAGGTACGAACATTTTCTATTCGAATGTAAGGGCATGTACAAAGTAATATAACGCAACATGCATATCCTATACAAACACGAGAGCATGTACCATGCAAAATAACAACAATGTATATTCAATGCGACATACGTATTCAATGCAACATAATCAACAATGCATATTCAATGCAATATGCATATTTTATGCAAAAATGGGGATGCATGTTCTATGCAACAATACAAAATGCATATTTCATGCAACATAACAACAATGCATATTCTATGCAACATACTCAACAATGCAATTTCAATGCAACATGCATATTCTATGCAACATAATCAACAATGGATATTCAAAGCAACATGCATATTCTATGCAATGACAAAAGCGTGTTTAACAAAGATGCCTCAATCGCAACTTCCGATTTACCTCTCGGAAGAGTTGCAGTACTTTTAAGGAATGATACACCTCGTCCATGTTGAATGATGATGAGCCATGCATAGAAGACACAGTTCGAGGCTTCTTCAAAGACACTTGGAGCTTAAAAGTGAGCCTTCCTCGTACTTTCTCAAGAATAAGAAAGAGGCCTAAGAGGGATGTACGAATTAAGAACGGATTGAATCGTTTGTGACCCATATGTGTGACGTAATGTGTAGGGTCGACCTCAAGGGTGAATCCACCGGCAAAACACTGTAAGTAATATCTTAATGAAGATATTTTGAAGTATGTTATTTGTCCAATTGCTTATTTCCCTATCAGTCTTATAAGTTTGTTAATTCGAATTATGGCCAAATGTTTGCTATGCCATATGGTTGGGCCAAAGGCCGTTTGACATGAATGAATGAATGAATGGGCCGAAGGCCGTATGACATGAATGAATGGGCCAAAGGCCGTCTAACATGAATGAATGGGCCAAAGGCCGTTGACGCGAATGATTGGGCCAAAGGCTGTCGGATATGAATGAATTGGGCCCGAGGCCGTTTGATGTGTTTTGAAACCACAGTCACTTGACCTATATTTATATATATATACTAGATAGAAATATGAATTGGGCCCAAGGCCGTCTGATGCATATTGTTCTAAGTACCGTTCGTGTGTCTTCTTTACTTGATATTATTCACTGGGTTTTCGCTCACGCTCATTCATGTGTCTATAGGTGAGCCAAGGGAGGTCCAAACCCAGCCTCAGTGAAGTTTGTGTGAAACAGTCAAGGTTTTGAAGAGTCCGCCCAAACGTCTCACGCACGAGACTTGTCTTCGCCTCTTTTGTTCTTTTGATGTGGTTTGTGATATTGGCGAAAACGTTGGATCACTTTTGTACATAAACTTTGGGTTTGATTGACTTAGACTTAAATGATCCTGTGTGTACAGAACTTTGTGTTACTACATATTTTGATGTGAGTTATTAACATGTATATATATGGATTGCTATGTTGTGCCATGTAAGCACGACTCTATGGACAAAAGTTTGAAATTGCTTCCGTTTGGCCCCTTTACTCTGAGGAGTTATGTCTTATTTGGTTTGCGGCTGTAGGTAATCCCTTGATTACTGGCCGGTTATGTCCTTAGCCCATAGGGGCGGGTTCGGGTCATGACAGAGTGGTATCAGAGCACGAGTTAATAACTCACACACTTGTCCAAAAGAGCAATAAGCATCTAGAAAAGATCTAGGATGCATTCGTGTGATAAGTATGAATCTGAACGCGTCAAGAATGTGCTTAAATGCTTTGAGATAAATGATGACGTGCTATATGTTTGTGATTTACTTGCATTGCGAATTATGTGAATATGTATGCTTTTTCTTATATGCGTACTTGTGAAAATTTTGTATAAAGAATAATGCAAGTCTAATCAGATGGTGAGAACAAGAGGTGATGAGATAGAGGAATCCTCTACTGCCATAATGGATAGAATGGAAAGATTGATTTAGGAAATGGCAGAAACGTTGAGGCAACAACAATAGTGGCAGCAACCACATCTTCCACCTCCACCTCCACCTCCGGCACCACCCATGCCGGACGCACAGAATGATGACCAAATAATTGCTCTCACCAAAGAGTTTAAGAAAATGAAACCACCACAGTTCCATGGTGGATTAGATTCGTTGAAAGCCGAAGCATGGGTCCTCGGCATCGAAAAACTATTTGAAGTGTTCCCTTGTTCGGAGACACAGAAAGTGCTCCTAGCCACCTTTACTCTTGAAGATGAGGCTAGAAGGTGGTGGATGCTAATGCGTGAAAACAATAAAGGTGTTAGTTGGGCACGGTTCTTGGAAATTTTCTATGACAAGTACTTTCCACAGTGTGCCCGTGATAGGAAGGTGTCGGAATTCATGGAACTCAAACAGAACAACATGGCTGTAGCTGAGCATGAAGCCAAGTTCACTGAATTGGCTAGGTTTGCACCACATGTGGTTGACACCGACTATAAGAAGGCAAGGGATTTTGAAGGGGGACTCCGGGATGATATTCTAGAAAAGGTAAATGTTCTCAAACTGGAGACCGATATTGAGGTGTTAGACCAGGCCATAATATTAGAAGCTAATATAGCCAGGCAAGCTAAACCAACGACAGACTGGAAAGGTAGTAAAAGACAAGGCTTCTTTTCGAAGAAGAAATTTTTGAAGAAGCAAAATACGGGCTCCTCGAGTACTTCTAATTCTTCCTGAGATGCATCCCCAATGTGTAATATTTGTAGTAAAAGGTATCGTGGAGTCTGTTACCTTGTGTCAGGAGCTTGTTTTAAATGTGGAAAAATAGGACATATGGCCAGAGAATGTAATTAGAACAGTGGGAAGATAGCTGCCAGTTCCACTGCATCGATCCCAAAATCGGGAAATACTATGAGATCAACTACCACCGGAGATACCGTGAGGCAAGGGAGAGTTTTCGCGCTTGTTCCGGGCGATACACGGAATGCTAACGCAGTTGTCTTAGGTACTATTTCTATATGTAATCAGGATGCTTTTGTGTTAATTGACTCTGGATCAACACACTCTTTTGTAACATGTGCATTTGCATCTAGATTGAGTAGACCTCTAGAATTATTGCCATATCTGCTATGTGTATCTGCTCCATCAGGGGAATCTGTGTTGTGTGAATCTATATATCGATTATGTGACATGCGTATTGAGGATGCTATTCTATATGTAGATTTGTTGCCCTTGAACTTTAGACATTACGATGTAATTTTGGGCATGGATTGGTTAACTAAGTATTGTGCCACCATTGATTGTGTGACAAAACGGGTTGTATTTAAACCACCAGAACATAAAGAAATTGTGTTTGTGGGTAATGGGGTAGTGCCTCCACCTTATTTAATATTTGCAATGAAGGCATGCAAATTAATCAGGAAAAGGGTGCCAAGGTTATTTGTGTTGTGTGCTATCTGAACAACCTGTGAATGTTGAATTGAACAATATCTCTATTGTTAGAGAATTTCTAGATGTGTTTCCAAATGAATTACCAGGGGAATTGGTGGACAGGGAGATAGAGTTTACAATTGAGATTATGCCAGGCACCCAGCTTATTTCTAAAACTCCCTACAGAATGGCTACTATTGAAATGAAGGAACTGAAAGAAGAGTTGCAAGACCTGCTTGACAAAGGGTTTATCCAACCTAGCACTTCACCATGGGGTGCAACAGTGTTGTTTGCGAAAAAGAAAGGTGGAACCTTGCGCTTGTGTATCGACTATTGAGAATTGAACAAGGTAACAATAAAGAATAAATATCCCCTTCCTCGTATTGATGACCTGTTTGACCAGTTGCAGGGATCACAAGTGTTTTCCAAAATTGATTTGAGATCCGGGTATCATCAGTTGAAAGTGAAAGAAGAAGATGTTGAGAGAATCGCGTTTCGAACAAGGTATGGTCATTATGAATTTCTTGTTATGCCATTTGGGGTAACTAATGCTCTGGCAGCGTTTATGGACTTAATGAACCGAATTTTTAAAACCTACCTGGATGAATTTGTTGTGGTTTTTATTAATGACATTTTGATATACTCCAAGAATAGACTTGAACATGAACAACATCTGAGAATTGTGTTACAGATACTTGGAGAAAAGAAGTTATTTGCTAAACTAAAGAAATGTGAATTTTGGTTGGATGAAGTAATCTTTTTAGGGCATGTGATCAACAAGGAGGGAATATCAGTGGACCCGTAAAAAATAGAGGTGATTGTGAATTGGCCTACACTGACAAATGTAACAGAGGTCCGTAGTTTCATGGGCTTAGCTGGGTACTACAGGAGGTTTGTGAAAGACTTTTCGAAAATAGTTGTACCTCTTACCCAACTGACACGCAAGGGACAACCATTTGAATGGAATGACGAAAGAGAATCAGCCTTTCATGAACTAAAAACAAGATTGACCACTGCACCAGTATTAACACTACCATCAGATACGAAAAATTTTGTGATTTTCAGTGATGCATCTTAAAAAGGTTTGGGCTGTGTATTAATGCAGAACGAAAAGGTTATTGCTTATGCCTCTCGATAGTTGAGGCCACATGATAAAAACTACCCAACACATGACTTAGAACTGGCCGCAGTTGTGTTTGCTCTAAAAATATGGCGGCATTACTTGTATGGGGTGAAATGTGAAGTCTACACGGACCACAAAAGTCTGAAATACTTCTTCACGCAGAAGGAGTTTAATATGCGACAGAGGAGATGGCTGGAATTGATAAAAGACTATGATCTAGAAATTTAGTATCACCCCGGGAAAGCTAATACAGTTGCTGATGCCTTAAGCAGAAAATCAACGGGAAGTATAGCTTGTTTGCTTACTGAACAGAAAGAGATCTTGCAAGATTTTGAGAAGTCTGAAATTGAAGTGGTATTGTGTGAACATAGTGGATTGATAGCCGCTATCTCAACTGAACCAGCAATCATTGATGAGATTAAACGGAAACAAAAAGAGGATGAATTCCTCAAGAAAATAATTGATAAATTTGAGACAAGTCCAAAAGCAGAGTTTAGTGTTGAAACTGAAGTGTTAAGGTTCCGAAACCGAATGTGTGTCCCATATATACCGGAACTAAAGAAGAGAGTTCTAGATGAAGCCCATAAATCTGTGTTTGTCATGCATCCGGGTAACAATAAAATGTATCGGGATTTGAAGCAAAGCTATTGGTGGCCCAAAATGAAGAAAGAAATTGCAGAGTATGTGTCCAAATCCCTTAAGTGTCAGCAAGTAAAAGCTGAACATCAGAAACCAGGTGGTCTGCTTTAACCTCTCCCTATTCCTGAATAGAAGTGGGAGCATGTGACTATAGATTTTGTTGTTGGTTTACCTCGGACTCCTCGAGGCATGGATTCTATCTGGGTTGTAGTTGATAGACTGACTAAATCTTCACATTTTCTACCTGTCAGAACTACATTTGATGCTTATAGATTGGCTACTATATATGCTGATGAGATTGTCCGTTTACACGGAGTCCCGGTATCCATTGTCTCAGATAAAGATCTAAAATTTGTATCCAGATTGTGGAAGAGTTTACAGAAAGCTATGGGAACAGAACTGAGGTTTAGTACCGCATTCCACCCACAGACAGATGGGCAATCAGAACGGACTATACAGACATTAGAAGATATGCTCAGAATGTGTGTTTTAGATTTTCAAGGGAGTTGGGAAGATTATTTGACACTGGTAGAGTTTGCATATAATAACAGCTTCCACTCTAGCATTGGTATGGCACCATACGAGGCTTTGTATGGTAGAAGGTGTAGATCACCAATTTGTTGGACAGAAGTCGGGGATAGAGCTTTACTTAGGCCTGAAATTGTGCAAGACACTTCTAAGAAGATTAAGGTAATCCAACAGAGGCTCAAAACAGCTCAGGACCAACAAAAGAATTATGCAGACGTTCGAAGAAGACCTCTTGAGTATGAGGTTGGTGACCATGTGTTCATTCGTGTGACTCTGATGAAAGGCCAAGTCAGGTTTGGAAAGAAGGGTAAGTTGTCGCCCCGTTACATTGGGCCGTTTCAAATTCTAGAAAGGCTTAGTCCAGTTGCTTATAGAGTTGCTTTGCCATCGGGATTCGAGCAAATCCATAATGTGTTTCATGTGTCAATGTTAAGGGGTTATCTTCGAGACCCACTTCATGCGATTGATTATCACTGGGTAGCTCTTGATGAAAATATGGAGTACGCCGAATGGTTGGAATGAATCATTGACCGGCAAATGAAACAATTGAGAAGCAAGTCCATCCCAATGGTGAAAGTGGAATGGAAAGAACACTATGGGACAGATGCCACATGTGAAAAAGAGGATGAAATGCAACTACGCTATCCACATTTGTTTCCTGACGAAGGTAAAATAAGTTTGGAGGACGAAACTTCCTAAAGGGGGGAAGACTGTGATAACCCTGTTCCGTATTATGCTAATTGATCCTTATTATGAATATGATTATGTGTTTGATATGATTTTGAGTACCATTTATATGAATATATGTGGTTTTGAATTTCTATCTGTTTACCGTAGGAAAATCTGTTTGACTTTCTGCTTTGGAATTTAAATTGAAGGCCCTATCGGCCACCGAAACTGAAATTGACTACGCCATTGTGATTGGCATAATTTTTAGAGCCTACGGTGAAATTTAATTGAAAATTGATTTGGATCAAAATAATCAGATTCAGAATGACTAATTAAAGCACCATTACTTAATTTTAAGTGATTTGATTAAGGGAGCCTATAAATAGGCCAACTTGCACTCACACTCACTTGTTTTGAGTTCAAAATATGAGTTTATACTTTAGTGAGAGAGAAAGGCCGGTTCTAGAGAGAGAAAGGGGGAGAATTGTGTATTTTGGCTTAAGGTTTGTGAGATTGGAAAGCTAGGCTCAAGAATTAACTTCAATTGTGAGGATTGATGCTCCTAGGTGAGTAATCAACTCTTAATTTGTCAATTGAGTATGTAATTTTGTGCATTCAAGTGGTATGGTAGCTCATGGCAAAGATTGAGTTGAATATGAAGTTAGAATGCACATGCATGCATGAAATTACTATGAATCACCATGAATTGCCATGAAATTGCATGAGCTAGCATGAATAATGTTGAACAAGGAGAATTGGGCACCAATCTTCACATGCATGCATAATTTCCATGGGTTTCATAATAACAAGTGTTACTTGTAAGATTTGAAATAGAGTTGGAAGTCAAGACTAACATGCATGATGAAATTGATAGAGATATGGATTTGGTATGAAGTTTGAATGTATGGGTTTTGATCATACAAAAGAAATGAGGGTTATTTGAGAATTAGATGATGATTTTGAAGAATTTGGTGTCATACTCTTATATTCTCATGGAATATAATGTGTTTACATGTTATTGAACTGAAATCATGAGTTTGGAACCTTTGAACATCAAAACTGAACTCCAAGAACAGTTCTGGAAAACCCAAAATTTGGCATGTCCACTTGAGCGGGGAAAGCGCCGCTCGAGTGTGAAATATGAACTCCTAAAACTTTTTGCAGACATAGATGTTCGCTCGAGCGGGGAGATTCACGCTCGAGCGGGGAGCCATGTAGTGTGACCTTTAGCTCGAGCATCCGAATTCACACTCGAGCGTAAA